GTGCAATGAGCAGGATGCCCATCCTGCATCATTATAATTTCGTCAACTTGGATTCCCTGCTGCGCCAATAAGCGGGGGAGATGAACCCGCAAGAATTCGTTATACAATCGACCGTTCAGACGAGGGGGAAATTGGAACGGCCCAATCAATCTCCCATCAATAATTCCTGCCCACAGATGAACTGAGAAACGGACTTGGAAACTTCTAGGCATCGTTACGTACGGATTAGTATCGCTCCAGTAATGTTCATTTTTGAAGTTCCAAGTTCCGTCTCTACCAAAACGGCATTCATCAGTGAACAGGATTCTTCGATGGAAATTAGCGTCAAGACGATTTCTCCTCAATGCCCAGCGGCAGAAATATCTTCTTCTGTCGTGATCCGGGTCGCCATGCAGAGCTTGCACTCTGGCAAAAGAGTAATCATGGTACCTGAAATAAAAATATTTTAAAAAATAATCAAAATTTTTTTTAATTAATTAAAAAAAGTAGTTTTAAAATAAAAAAAAAACTAAAAAATTAGCTAACTCCCTGACAAATTTTTTATTTTCCCTGACTAAAAAATTTTGAAATTATTTAATATTCTACATTGCAGACTTCGCACTAGATAATTAATTTTAAAAAAGTAGCTATCGAAAAATTAATCTAAAATTTAAATATTTATAAAAATAATGTAATTCTTGCCAAGAATTTTTTAAAAATTATTAAATAACTAATTTCTTACGACTAATTTTATACAAATTCTAATTTAAATAATTGAATTCCTGAGAAATTTTTCTAATTCATGAAAAGAACTAAATTCTTAAAAAAATTTTATAAAGAAGTGAATTTTCTTTGGGAATTTTATGAAAATAGTAGATAATTAAAAATGGTATTTAATTGCAAAAAGTTTTTAAAAATATTTAAATTTTAAAAAGGATTCTACTAAAATTTTTAAGAATAATTGAATGTCTGTGTGGCATTTTAATAAATTTTTTATGAAAATAATTCAATTCCTAAGAAGCATTTAATGGTTTATGAAAATAATTGAATTCCTGAAAACGATTTTATTAGAATTTTTTTAAATAGTTGAATTTTCAAGATAAAATTTATTACTTTTAGAAAATAATTGAATTCTTGTGATGAATATTGTTATTTAAGAAAATATTTGAATTTTACAAAGAATTTAAATAAAATGCCTCACAATAATTGAATTCTTCCAGAATTTAAAAAAAGATTTTTTTAAATAATTGATTTTTTTTTGAAGAATTGAAATTAAATTTTTAAGAATAATTACATTTTTTGAGCAATTCCTGTAAAATTTTTCTTTAAAAGTAATTGAAATTCTGCAATGATATTTATTATTTATGAAAAAAATTGAATAGTTGAAAAGAATTTTATTAAAATTTTCAAAATGAATTAAATTCCTGAGAACAATTTTATTATTTATGAATAATTGAATTCGTGATAAGAATTTTCTAAACATTGTTTTAAATTATTAATTTTTTCGAAACATAATTTAAATATTATGAAAATTTTATTTTAAATAATTGAATTCTTGCGTGAAAAACTTTATTTATGAAAATAATTAAATTTCTCTATTAATTCATTTTAAATAGTATAAAAAATAATTGAAATTCTTCGATGAGTTTTAATATTTATGAAAATAATTAAATTTTCTCAAAAATTTCTTTAAAAAATTAAATTTCCATAAAAAATCTTATTATTAGTGAAAATAATTGAATTATTGTGCGAAGAAATGTAAAAAAAATTGTGTTAAATAATTGATTTTTTCGAAATTTTGTTGAAAATGCTATTAAATTAATTTAATTCCAGTGGAAATTTTATTATTTATGAAAATATTTGAATTTTGGATCTTGAATTTTCTCGTATATTTTTTTTAAATAATTGAATTGTTTTGCGTAATTTTATGAAAATAGTTAAAAATATTGAAAATAATTGAATTGTTTTAAAGAATTATTATGTCCGTAAGATCGTTAGGGGTCAAAGTTTTTTAATTTGTGGTTTCTTTCGATCAAAATTCCCTGTCTTTTAAAAAATTTTTAAAAATTCCCTGACTTTTCCCTGATTTCCAGTTTTTCTCTGACTTGCGGCCACCCTGACACGTACAAAATGGTTTTGAAGCGTAAAGTGTGCTTTACGACATACACATTTATTAATTAAAATCACCATTTCTTTTTTAAAAATTTTAAACTCGCGCGCCAATAAATAGGAGAATAAGAAACAAAAGAAAAGAATTAACGCATGTAATTTTAATTTTAATATGGGAATTTTTTTTTTATAAAAATTATTGAAATTATATTTCAGGTTCAGTTTATTATCACTACTTAGAAATTTTTTTTTATTAAAAATATTAAGAATAATTTTTTTTATTTTAACTATTAGCGGATTTAAAGTAGTAAAAAATTAAAAAAAAAAATAAAAAAACATCTTTTAGTACCACAAAATAAAAAAGTATCCAAATAGTAGCTAATTAGAAAAAAATAATAAATAGTAGATTTTAGTAGAGGAATGCGAATTAAAAATAAATCAACATACTTTGCAGCTCTCAACGTCGCTTGAACTGTCGCGTAGGACAAGTTGAGAGCTCTAGCCACAACTCGTAAACTGGTTCGTGGATTATTTCGGATTGCCCGCATGATTCGTTCCTCAATCCAATGTCTCCTGACCCTCCTTGGAGCACCAACTCGTCCATTTTGTGGAACCAATGGTTCCCCATTATTCACCCGAATCATCAAACGTGTAATTACATCGGCATTTGGAAAACGTTGTCTGTCGGCATACCGATTTCTGTAAATAATCGCCGCCCGATTGGAACTACCATTGGCAGCATCGTGACATCTTATCATGTCAATGTACTCTTCTTGTGTATAAAGAACCATTCTTCTCAAACACACGACACTTTAATGAATATGAATATGAAACTCTTGTCATTCGTAAAAACAAATTCAAAAACAAGTGACTTTCAATTTCATCTGAAGTTTGCAGTTACAAACAGGGTTAAGGTACTGCCACAGCTCTCTATTTACAGCTGCCTGCCCAGACAGCCGGGCTCAATTAGGCGGCAGATTTAAATTAATATTTTCTTTTTAATTAAAATTATTATTAAAACTGAATAAAAAATAATAATTTTTATAATAATAATAATAATAATAATAATAATAATAATCTAAATTATGAAATAAAAACACCACAGTAAAGTTAAAGCTGAAATATTTAATTAATAAAATGAGTATAAGTGATATATAACCCCGCAATGTACTGCTCCGCGAAGCAGGGTGCGCGAGGGTTACACTAAAAAAACTTAATTGATTCAAATATACGATTAATTGAATATTATCAATTGGATATTTAATTGAATTAAATAATATTTATTGAAGTCAATTAAATGGTATTTTTTTCATCTAAAATAATTATTTTTACTCCACGTAGAGCATAAAAAAGACCCTGAAAATCATAAAACAACAAAAAAAAATTGTGAATGTTATTAACAATTTAGTTTTTTTGTAGTCTAAAATACAAAAAATTTTTCTCGAAATCTATTTGAATGATTTAAAAATGACAATATAAGTTTTCTTCGACTTATAACAAACTATTTAAAAATAATTTTTGTTTTTAAAAAAATTAATTTTTAATAGTTTTTAATGTTAATTGTTTATAAAATGTTAATAACAAATTGTGTTATGCGCCTCCTAGAAAAGAAAAAAAAATTGCCTAGTATTGTCAAAATTCCCCTGAGAATAAAACCGTTAAGAAAAATAATGTACGTGAATTACCAAAAAAATGATTAAATAATAACTAGGGCAGTGCAAGGCGATGCATGTCTCGCAAGCATGGCTGACATGTCAACCTGTGTGCACTGACGCTACACTGCAAGATAGTGTACGTTGCATCAGTCGCAATATTTAAGAAAAAACTAGTTTTAAATTATTTAATTAATTATTTGGTTTCTTTATGTTTAGAAGTGACTTATTATTGCAGTTATATTTCGCAGTCAACAAAAAATCTGAAGACAAAACTTTTTTTGGTTCAAAATAATACCTATTGTAATGGAATTAAATACACAGACACACAAAAAGAAGTGGCGTGACCGACACACTACACTAGTATATTCCCATGTATTTTTTGGCCGCTGTATCCAAATTCGAAGTCCGAATGCTCAAATTTGTTCTTTCTATGAGTTATACTCAAAAAACGACTCAAAACACGAATTTGACCAAAAAAAAATAAAAAAAAATTTTTGTGACATAACAATAGCATATATGTCCATGTATTTTTTCCCGCTAAATCCGAATTCGAAGTCAAAATTTACAGATTCGCTCAAAACTTTGAGATAAACTTAAAAAATGGCTCAAAAAACCGAATTAAAATCAAAAAAATTTTTATGAAACTACACTACTATATTACCATATACTTTTTCCCGATGAATCCTAATTCGCAGTCAAAATTGACAGATTTGCTAAGAAATTTGAGATAAGCTCAAAAAATTGATAAAAAAAGCGATTTAAAATAAAGAAATGGAAATTTTTTACTATGACACTACACTACAATTTTTACATATATTTTTACACTCGTATCTTGCATTTGAAATCAGAATTAAACTGGTCAATTGTTGTAACATAACAGTAACGAAACGCCTCAAAATTTTTCTGTAATTAACTAAATATAAGCCAATAGGTCACACAAACAAAAATCTTTACTTCATTATATTATTTCAGCCTGCGATATAAGTCATTATGTTAGATTTTAGCAATAAAATGCTTATTCAAAATTCTATGCGAAAAAGTACATTCTGAAATAATCTTACACTATGAATTTTATAAAATATTCAATAAAATATAATTTTTAATTTTAATTGCTTAAAAAATATTTTTTAATATGTACGCACTGAAATTCTAAGATATTTAATTGTAATTTAATATTAAAAGGAAAATTTAGGGTTCCATTTTTTTGCCCAGAAAATCAAATAAGAATTATCTTGTACCAAAAATTAAAATAACATTAATAAAAGTAAAATTTAATTAAACTCTTTAATTTTTATAACATAACAGATTTTCTTGTGTGAAAATGACAATTAGCTTGTGAAATTATTACTGAAAGTAGTAAACTTTTTAAAAATTATTTCGCAACAATTTTAATCGAAATAATAAAGGACTTAAAAAGTAAATTTCCGGTATAATTTCAGACTTAATTTAAAACAACCTTAACACCGGATCGTCGGATCAGACTCAAAAGAGCCGGACAAAATCTACAGAACATATACTTAACGTGAAATCTAACATGATCGCTCAACATTTCTGAAAATGTGTTGTTCATCCAAAAAACTAAAAGTGGTGTCCAGCCTAGAGAAACCGGCTCCATGTAAATCATGCCGCAACGAGAGACTGTCGCCGGTGATGCAACCTAATTAAAAGAATTATTTATAAATAAATAATAAATAATAGTGAATAATAAATATCAAAGAGCAGTAAATAAAATAACTAGAAATAGATTTAATAAAATAGAATAATCAAATTGAAATTAAAAACTACAAAATTACCTCGAGATCCATTGGTTCGAAAATTAAATTCGTAGTAGGCGAGAGTTGAATAATTTCGTCCGACATAAGACAAAGCTTTTTGTTATCGTCCAAAACGGTATTTATATTCTCAATCCAAACAGCGTCAACCGGTCCATCGAATACCAACCATTTTCTATTATCATTTATCGAATTTGCAAACGATCGGTAACTCACGGCAAAAATGCCATCGCTCTATTCGTGAGACGCAGGATCAAAATTCCCATAGAGTTGACATGTCTAACAATCATCATCTCATAAATTTGTTGCACCTTCTCTAGAAAATAATCCGTGCACTGAAGAATTGTTACCACGTTGTATTGTTAAAATTTGCTACCGATTTATTTAAAATATTTAAGCTTAAATTTAATTTTGTTTTAATACTTTAAATGTTAATTTAACTTCAATTTAAATTTAAATTCAATGAAAAACAAATTTAATTTCGGGTTGAATTTTAATTTATGTACAAATTTATCTTTAATTGCAATAAAACTTTAATTTCAAGTTAAATTTCAATTCAAAACCAACTCGAATTTTATTTCCATTTACATTTGATTTCAATTTCAAATCAGTTTATATTAAAATGAAAATTTAATAATATTTTAATAATTTCAATTGAATATCGATGGAAATGTATAAGTTTAAATGAAACTTGGATAAAAGTTTAAATTCGATTTCACTTTAAAATTTAAATTCAATTTAGATTTGATGTAATATTTTAAACATCAATTAAATTTCGTTTTTAATTTAAAGTCGTGTTTGCTTTAAATTTAATTGTTAGTACAATTTTATTAAAATTTTTATTTTGCTTTACATTTCAATTCAATTTAAATATTCTCGAAAATGGAAATTTAATTTCAAAAAATATTTTTAATCTATCTCAATGTAATTCTAGTTAATTTCTAATCGAAAATTTAAGGAAACATTGAAAAACAAATTTATATTAATTATAAATATGACAGGAATTAAAAATTTGAATATCGAAAGAGAAATTTAAATATAAATGTAAAAGTTTAAACATGAATGTGAATTTAAATCTAATTGAAATCATTTTCTTGAATTTTACCTAAAGTAATGCGATTCTGCTTCGATAATTTTCCACGAATTATTAAAATGTCATTTAATTCCTTTTGACATTGATCAAAATAATTTTGAAATGCTTGCAGAGGATTTTTATCAGCAATCGACACCTCAATTTGCTGAGTCCAGTATAATTGACTGACGCAAAGAACCGTTTGTCCCGGCCACTCAAGAATCCAAATTGTCCTCTCTTTCTTTGGATAAGCTTCAATTGCTTCCTGAACTTTGTGCCTGACACTTTTTCTCATGTCGACTTCCAATCCCACCAGCCATTTTTGAACTTGACCACGAACAGCCGCTGTTAATATTAAATCAACAAATTCAACAATCTCACGACATCATCGCATGAACTATCAAATCATCATCAAACGTCAATTTCGCTATTCCCTCGAAGCATTTTTTCAAATGCGGCTGTACACTGAAAAACATTTTCAATTCAGACAATTTATTTTGTAAACAAATTATTTTCAAAGAAAATAAATGTTCAAATATAAAAAAATGTTTTTATAAACAATATTAACAAAACTATTTAAATATTAATAAAGATATTAAAATATTAAATTAAAGTATAAAAGTTATGGAATTTAGATTTGATCACTTTAATTACCTAGTTGGATCTTTAGTTTCGGAGAAAATTTCCAATAGTTCATCATTGGAGAGAAAGAAGAATCTCGGGAAGAAGAGTAATTTCTTCTCCCACAACCTGTTAAACAGCAAATAAAATAAACAAAACTAAATAAAAATAGGTTTCAAGATTGCAAATAAATGAAATAATTCCACCGAAAATTATTCTAAGAAGAGGAAAAAGAAAAAATAGAATTATTAAAAAATGTTTAAAAATAAATATAAAGAAAAACAGAGAAAGTAAAATAAAATTTAAGGGACTAAATAACAATAAAAACAGACGAAATTGAATAACAAAATTCGAATAAAATAGTAAATAAATAAAAAAAGAGTACAGAAATAAAAAAAATATAATAAAAGTAAAGTCAAAATAAAATAAAAATAAAAAACAGAGGAGCAAGAATAAAAGAAAATAAAAGTTAAAATAAAGTAAAAAGACAAAATAGAATAAAAACAAAAAGCCAAGTAAAATAGCACGTAATAAAAAATAAAATTGTATGAAAATATGAAAAAAAAGATAAAATAAATAAAAAGAATAAAATTCAAATAAAATAATTTAAAAATACATAACTAATAAGTTGATTAATTAAATCAGTAGTTATTAAAAAATAATTACGTCTATGAGTAATAATAATAATAAAAAACAAAGAACTCACATAATTTCGGTCTCAAAGGGTTTAATATAAGGCGAATTTTTATGGTAATGGCTTTAGTGATGTGATCATAGAGCAATACTTGAATGTCATCGACACCAGCAACAACATAGGTTCCAATATTTTTATAGGGATTCACGGTAAACACCATGTCGGACAAATCTTTATGCATCCTATGAATATTCTTCTCTAGAGTACTCTCCTTGCTTGCACTCTCCGAAATGCCTTCAAACTTCTCCACCAACTGATCAAGATTCATGTCCAAAACTCTGCCTGGTGTCAAATGTGCATCGACTTTAATTGGAATTTCAATTATTTCCGAAATCTCAATGCCGTTGTTTAATTCCCTGATTGCCAAGTGTCATTATCACTGGCATATGATCTTTGAAATTTTCTATCTTCTCTGTCAGCATACGCGCCAATCTCTTTGATTCTATTTCTTGAAATGATCTCTCAAGTTTAAAGAGGGTTCTGAAAAAAATTGAAATTTCTTTTATTTTCTACCTATTATTAAAATCAATTAAATATAAAATAATTATTATTAATTAAACGAATTAAACGCAGCCCATTCAGATTTAATATTATATGTCTGGTTCAAAATAATACCTATTATAATGGAATTAAATACACAGGCACACAAAAAAAGTGTCGTTGCCGAGACACTACGGGGAAGTCAAATCGAAAGAAATGCTGATGACGTGCCACCTAAAACGTTTTAAGAACCTTATTAAAAAATACATGTGTACATTTGTCCACCTTTAAATTACACATGTAATTTGAATTTTAGTATTTTTGTCAAAGTTTCTAAATTTGTTACACGTGTAACAATTTAAGAAATTTCCAAAAAAATCAAAGTTATAAAATTCAAAGTTCACATTACACGTGTATTTACACATGTAACAATTTTCGAACTTAAAAAAATCAAATTTCAAATTACACATGTATTTACAAGTGTAACAATTTTAAAAATTTTGACAAAATACAAAAATTTATAATAATTTTTATAAAACTTCTTCTCAACAATTCTCAATTATTTTTTCTATTAAAAAATAGGAGGGAAGAAATAAGAAAAAAACATGGACAAAGAAGAAAAACATAAAAATTTGTTCGTATTTAAATAAAATTATTAAAGAAAATTCAAGTATTCAGAATTTTTTGGAAAAAATTAGTTATTTATTTAATTATTCTACTTGCCTGCCGTTTCTTCTCTGCTCTTACATATTCTAAATATGACAACAATAAACTTTGAAAATCGGCACTACAGACACCATGGAACACAAAACATAACCTCATTTATTGAGACAGTTGTACCAACCCAAAAAGTACATTGGTCGAGGTATCACGACGCAATTATGCCAACCGCAAATTATTAAACTTGTTTATTTATGATTATATCAAAATAATAATAATTTTATTTCATTAATAATTTTTTTTACAAAATTAAATAATAAAAATTAATTATTATTATTGTGATATAAAGTAATAGTAAAACATTTTATATTGTCAAAAAGAGAAATGTGCAAAAAAAATGTTAGTAAAAAAAAGCGCCACGAGATAGCACCAGCTGATGGATGTTTTTTTTGTAAATAAAAATGTAACCCCAAATTACAATAATAAAATTAATTGTCACTAAAAAATTAATTTCTTTTTTTATATTTAAAATAAATATTGCATCATTTTTCAAAAAAGTTGAAGAATATTTTTGTGATACTTAAAAAATGCATTAAAATTAGAAAGAATAGAAACTAAGCAAAAACACGGCGAGAGGGCAGCACCTGTCAAAACCATTTTGAAAAAATGACATTTAGAAATTGATAAATTAAATTGTTGTTTTTAAATAATAAAAGCTATAAAAATCTATTCAGCAGAATCACTTATTCATTTCACAATAAAAATGGTTAATTTATAACTTAACCTTATTTAATTTTACTCAATTTAAACAATTACAAAAATTTGTCTTTGTACTTACCTTTGACAAAGATTATTAAATTGTGTAGTTTTTTTCTTTAATTTATTAAGAATAAATGTTCAATTTTAGTCAGAAATTTACAATTAAATATTTTCTATTTATAATTATATTAAAAAATGAAAATTTACTTACTTCTGAAGGTTATGGATATTAAAAAAAATTTTATTCAATTTCATAAATTACTGTTCATTAATAAAATAAAAAATTTTATGTAATTACTAAATAAATATTTATTTTCCTTATTTACAATTTATTTAAGCATTTTTTTAAAAGAAAAATAAAAAAAAATTAATCTTACCGAGAGTTGAACGCAGAATTGCAATTTACAAACCCGATGTGATTGCCAATGAACCAATCGAGGAGTTCTTTCTGCATTTATTTAGTTATTATTTAAGGGAAATTCATTTTGACAGTCGAAAAAAAAATTGATCCTGAAATCAATCAAAGGATTGATTTCAGGATCAATTTTTTTTTCTCTTTTCGTAAACTGAAAAAAATGGTTATCAAGAATTTATTAATTGCTAGTGGTTTTAAAAAATTGAAAGAAATTTTGAGAGTGAAAAAATAAATTTGTAATTTTAAACAGCGCTACAAGATGGCAGCTGCTGACGGGCAATTAAAAATAGAATTGATTAAATATTTTATATTTTTCATTTTATTTAACAATAAATTTTTAATTACAATAAAATAAAATTTATGTTTAAAAAATAATTAATTTTAAATTGATAATCATTAATTAATTAATCAATATTGTTTAATAAATATCATCAAATTAATCTGAAAATGATGACACTTTTTTGTAATCTTTTACACTTACCTCTTAAATAATCTTGCGACACCTTTCAATTCTTCATTAAATTACACCAACTTTATTTTTTACTTTCACAAATATTACTTAAAAAAAAAAAATTTAGAATTCGCGTTTGACATTTCTAGTTTTGGTAAACAAACTTTTTTTGAAATTATTTTCCGTTGGAACCAACCGATAGCACAATTCAGTTTGAATATAGGCTTTTGTTTTTTCAACTCCACTTTTTTTACAATCAGACAAGTTGGTCGCACGACTAAAATGGCGACCCAACAATTGTCACTCATTGTCAGTTCACGCAATTTTAATTTTCAATTTATTCAAAAATTTCTCAAAATTTTACAAAACAAAAAAAATAGTCCGCTTCTACACAACATTCTGAACCCGGGGACAAAATATTACCTGCGATTTACCGATCACCCTGTATATATATATTATTGTTTAAAACAAAATGTAAAGGGAAAGGTATTAACTATCAGAATTAAATAATAGAATATATAATATAATATATATATATATATATATACATATATGGATATGAAGAATGGACGAGAGGCTTCACTCAACGCGTTGAGTGAAGGCTCCCCGCGCTCCCCTTGACTTTGTGCGAGAGAGAAGGAATACTATGTATAGCATTGAAACGTTCTCTCTCATACATATTGTTCTTACAGAGTATTGCGTAATTTGGCCGGACGAAAATAAAATTCTTAACTCGAAATCCGCGGGGCCACCTAAAGCTAAAATAGTGAAGGGGGAGATTTTATTTAAATAAATTTAAAATTTTCTTTCTTGTCAAATGACCGGCCGGTTTTACGGTGTAGCCGCGTCCGCCCTATTTTAGTGGTTTAGGAAACTAAAAAAAAAAACAATAAGTTGTGCACGTGTGAGTGTGTGGTGAATTGTCTTCGCCCGTCGGAAAGTTCTGGCGGTAGATTTAATATCCAGCAACGGTAAGTACTGTATCGTTCTGGACTAATCAAATTTCATCCCCCCCCAAATTGTATGAGAGGTGGATGGAATTATTTTCCTTTTTATTATAATAAATTTATAATTATTATTCTTAATTTTCTCTCTATTAATTTCTTTATCTTCCTTACCCCCCCTCCTCTAATTAAAATTCTGAATGTTAAAAGTAACCAGGAATAACGTGTCCCAATAAGATAAACAGAGTTTACGCTCTGGCAGTTTGGTCTCCTCCGCCGAACTATAAAAATAGGGCCAGCTCAAAAGCCCAAAAATAATTTTTATAATAAACAATTATTCAAATTATTTAAAATATTTTTATCGGTTCGTAACAAATTAGTGTTTCTTAAATTGTTCTCGCCGAGAAAATTTTAGTTCGTAATCGCATCATTGTAATGTTTTTTATATATTCTTCGAATTTCTGCGATTTTTTATACGTTTTTCTAATTGTATTTGCACTATTTTTATTAATAATTCTATTTCATTTTTCAGTTAAACTCCCAATTTGTAAAATTCGAAATCATCGCTTTTACTCAAGACAGACCCCGTGGAATTGATAATCGATAAATTAACCAACGATAAATTTTCAATTATTCGCGAAAGCTAGTTTTTATTTTTCTGTCGCTGAGCAAAAGCGAAGATTCCGAATTGCGGGAATGCGGCATCAGCCGGTCGCACTAGGCCGCGTCAGCCAATCAGAGCGTCGATCGCTCCCACTGCGCGAGTCTCCCCACTCAACCGCGCCACAGAGCTCGGAGACATAGCTCTCGTCGTCACTTCTTACCGAGCTGCCTACCTGCACGGTCGCACCACTCAAACCTCCCGCTAACAGTGTTACGAAATAAAATAAATTCATCCGTTTTGATTTTAACTAATTTTAGTTAATTCTAAATTTTTACTTTTTCCCATCCATTTAACTTTCGGGTTTTATTCAACGCGCTTTTTGATTCATTAGTTTTTTCCATCCACCACACATTTTTGGAAACTCTTGCGAGGGTCCAAAATTTCTGTTCTTTTTCTCCTTTCCTTTTAAGAATTTTTAGAAACTTTCTGAGGGTCTCAAATTCTTAAACTTCCTTTCTCCGAGTAACACAAACTTCGGAAACTCCCGGAGGGTCCGAGGTTGTGTTTTTCCTTTATTCCCTGTCATTTCCTTTCCCGGCGATTTTTGGAAACTTCCTGAGGGTCCATAATCGTGTCCCCCCTTTTTTTAGACCTTTTTTGGAAACTCGCGCAGGGTCCAAAAATTATTATTTCTTTTTTTCAAATCAATTTTTATTTTTATTAATTTATTTGTTTTTTTTTTATTTATTTTTTTTATTTTGGCTTGCGCGTATATTATTTCCCCAATTAGAGAAATCTTCGGAAACTCACGGAGGGTCCGAGATTTCTTTCTCTTTGAATTTGCTCCCTAAATTCGTAATTTTCACCGAGTTTTCGGAAACTTGTTTTTAACAAGGGTCCAAAATTCGTTTGGTATTGTCAAAGCGCAAAATTGACGGTATCAATTTTAAGGAAGTGAATGTCAGATTTGATGAGACACTTTCCAGAGTAATCAATATGGAGGGTAGAGTGGTCGATTTGACGAATCTTCTTGCTTTGGTTGAGGATAGAATTGACACAAGATTGAGGCGAGATGTTCGCGGTTGGACAACCCAACAGTCGAGACTAATGCCTGTATTAATGAAATAGTTGATCGGTCAGAAAGAAAGTGTAATTTAGTTCTATTTAATCTTCCTGAAGATAAAACACCTAACAAAGACTCTTACACTTTAAAAACTGTTGTCAGCAACAAATTCAAAGAGTTTACTGAATCTACTGATCTGGACTCTGTAAAATCAGCGGACTTAGGGAATTTATGGATGTCGAATGACAAAACCGCAAACGTACTTCTACTCTCACACTTCAGATAGGCGGGTAAACAGTTAGCCAATCCAACTGTAATACCTAGTTTTGGCTTAATTCTTCTGTCATCATTGTCTTCAGTGTTCAAATGTATTCAGCAAACTTTTTGTGTGTGGAATTTTTTAGTTTAACTCATTTAGAGTATTGTGCTTTATTTTTCAAAAAGACATTTGAATTTGTTTTTATATGTTACAAATATAACTATTAGAATTAGGAGTACGTAATGTACGGAAGGGTATGTCTTGTTATGTTTCAAATAAAAATAAAATAAAAAATAATTGAACCCCTTGATGCAAGAACCAGACGCAGCTCATTTAATTTCAAAGGGATATGTCTGATTCTTGCATCAAGGGGTTCAATTGTCTTTTCGGCTAACGAAGTTAAAAAAATTATTTTGAAGACAATATTTGCGCAGTGCCGACTTAGTAATAATCATGTTAAACATGTGTTTAACCCCCGATATATGTACATGTGTATATCAGGGTTAGATTGGAATTAACTAATTCTGATCGTTGTATTTGGTTACATAAAGAAAATGAAGACTTTCATCACTTCTTTGTAAAATGTGAGAAGTATAATAATATTAGAGGTAAGTTTTTCCCTGATATAAATTCAGACGAATACGAGACCTCCTTTTGGATTGAGAAACTCTCCACAGACAAAATTTCAGACATTAAAAAAAACGCGAAAATGTATATATAAGAATGTTGAGAAAGAGAGAAACTGTGTGTGATTATTAATATCTGAAAGATATTAGACAATGTAAAATAAAACTTATTATTTGTAATAATTTATGGACAGATTGGCGTAATAAAGATAAATACTATACTAGGATAAGTGTGGGTATTCCTGCGAGTGACACAATTATTGCGATTTTTAAAAAATTATTATTTTCATTTTGGAATTTACGCCTAATTTTTTCAAAATAATTTAAAAAATTATTCTGAATCTTACTTAATGGAATAGCTCATAAAAATGTACATTCCGACAATTATTAATTTATTTATTTAAATTTGAAATATATTATGACAGAATTCTGTGAAATTATCAAATATGACAGTCATGAATACATATTAAAAACCGTTGATATTTCCAATATTCACTGTAGTATACACGTTTTAGTGTTACTAATCAAAGAAGTACATTTTATTATTTGAAAAATATATTAATTTACCCATCTTTTATTGATTTTCAATTAATAATACTTAAAACTATATTAGTAGCAGAATTTTTACTGCATGTTAGTATTATTGCGATTTTTAAATACGTTTACTGCGCAACGCATACTGAACATAACCTCTTTTTTGACAACCAGCGCGTTATGCGACACCTGATTTTCTGCAATAATGCTCGCACAATAATTGGTATTTCCTTCATAAATGTCACACAATAATACTCGCGTGTCAACAATAATACATGTGTTGACAATTAGTTTTTAATTTACTTTTTTAAATACAAATAAGTAACGAAATTTGATTAAGTTTAATGTTTTGGAAAATATAATAATTGATCTCTAATTTGTAATTGAAAAAACTGCACTTCATTTTTCCGTATACTTAGACGAGCTTCGCAAAGTTAACCTACACTAAAAATTCGCAGAAATACCCACACTTACCCTACAAAATATAAAAATTGAAAATTAACAAAATCAAATTAATAGAATTTATTAAAAGTTGTTAAAAAATGTTTTTTAATTTTTTAAATATATAGTGGTGTAAAAGTAAGTCTATATTTCTGGAAATCATTTTGTCTATTTTTTATTTTTATGAATACGCAATCCTAATGTGTTTTAGAAGAACGACTGTAACCATTCATCAAAATAATTTAACGTCAGAAGTTTGTGTCACATACATCCTTACACTCAAGCACACATATCCAGATATTTGTTTAAAACTGTGAATATGCATTTTTAATAAAAACGAAACATATATTCCATTTCTAAAAAATTGTTAAAAATACGATCTTTCCTTATGAGGAACCAAAAGTACAGTAATTTAAAAAGTTTTCTTCTCAAATGAATTCTAGTAGAATTTACAGTCAGTTATTGATGCGAAGATAAAATAAAATTTTTCGTTTATTTTAAATAAAATTAGGTCTTACATAAATACTCATACACCGCTTAACATTTTTTTTACATATGAGGCATTTTACGTGAAATGTCCTAAGTTGAAATTTCAACTTCTTGAAAAAAATTGAAACTCGAGGAATTTGTTGTTCTATCAAGTAGAAATGTGACCCAATAAATATTTTTGATTTTTTCGAAAAATTGGAGGGGGTAGAGGGGGGTAAATTTGACCAATTTTGCCAACATCGGCTACTTTGTGAATTTTTTCTGAACATACTTGTAATGGGAAAAAATTTTTAGAATATGTTTCTGAAAGTTTTTTTCGTCCTCTTTCCAATGGTGTATTTTATTTTTTAATATTTTAAAAATTTACCCTAATTTTTGATAATTTATATTTAATTTTCAATTTCCCAAAAATCGGTCCGCTTTTTTTGAAAATAATTTATTGCAAACAAAAGCTGAGGTTTTTTCCTATCGGCATGTAAATTTTCAGAATGCCCTTTTTTTGTTTTTGAGTTATTAAATTTCAAAGAATAAATTGCAGCGCGCTGCGTCGCGGTTGCACTGAGCCGCGTGGCAACCGGCGTGATACGAGGCGCCCGGGACGCAATTTATTCTTTGAAATTTAATAACTCAAAAACAAAAAAAGGGCATTCTGAAAATTTACATGCCGATAGGAAAAAACCTCAGCTTTCGTTTGCAATAAATTATTTTCAAAAAAAGCGGACCGATTTTTGGGAAATTGAAAATTAAATATAAATTATCAAAAATTAGGGTAAATTTTTAAAATATTAAAAAATAAAATACACCATTGGAAAGAGGACGAAAAAAACTTTCAGAAACATATTCTAAAAATTTTTTCCCATTACAAGTATGTTCAGAAAAAATTCACAAAGTAGCCGATGTTGGCAAAATTGGTCAAATTTACCCCCCTCTACCCCCTCCAATTTTTCGAAAAAATCAAAAATATTTATTGGGTCACATTTCTACTTGATAGAACAACAAATTCCTCGAGTTTCAATTTTTTTCAAGAAGTTGAAATTTCAACTTAGGACATTTCACTTAAAATGCCTCATATGGGCCATTCTGTAATTTTAATTATTTTCGAGTATTTACGATTTAATAAATAATTCTCAGCCTTATAAAGAATAAATTCTATCTCTTCATAAGTAAAATGGATTAACCACAATCAAATTACTATTCTCGGTGCGCCTTAACTAGACCCAACTTAAAAGTCCTTGCCCAGTAAAAAAGAAATTTTTTCCGTGAAAGTATATGGAAAATGGAAACTTCTGACAAAAATCAAAATAATCTGTGAAGCCGTTTTTGAGAACGATCCCTTTGAATATTTTCGCCATATAAAATATATATTTCTAGAAATGATAGTAGCAAATAGAAATGTATTATTGTATTATAGTTTCAGGCGCAGATCCAGAGCAACACGGCTTCATATTTTTAATGATAAATCGATGACGGATTAACATTTTTTAATTTTCTAACACTTATTTTAAAGCTGAAATTCTAACAAAGATTTCTGTGTTTTTAAACAAAATGTATCTATATTTTTCTAGATTTTTAAAAAAGTTGAAGTCAAGAGACCAAAATGAGAAAATTTGATAATTTTTTTGTATTTTTTTCTCACTTTACAACTCAAAAAGTAGTTAATCAAATGATTTTAAATATGGCTTATTTTACGCAAAATTTAATAAGCTTTCTAACCGTTTCTATGTTTTTTTATGTATTTCCTTTTAGAAATGGCTTCAAAAAGTCTTATTTTCCAAAATTTTAGATTTTTAAAAATTTAATATCTCCGGCTAATATGGACAAAAGATGTTCAATGAGGGCTCAAAAGATGCGTCTGAAAAACTCTACAAAACTAAAAAATCATTTATAGGAGTCCTAACATTTTTTAAAGTTATGGCCAAAAGACGTTTTTTTGCAAAATTAAAAATGCAAAAAAGAAATAGTTAAACTTTATAAATCGGACTAAAAATACTCTTATTTTATGTCCCCGGGGAGATCTACAATTACATTAAAATATGTCAAAAAATGACAATCGAAAATTTTGCCAATTTATATTGGCAAAATTTTCGATTGTCATTTTTTGATATCCTCTATCAGGATATTTCCTCTATTTCCTTCCTCTATCAGGAAGCAATATTTGAAAGTAATTATATTTTGATTTTAAAAATATTCAAAAGGGCCGTTCTCAAAAAAGACTCCACAGATTATTTTGATTTTTGTGAGAAAATTTTCTATTTTCCATATACTTTCACGGAAAAAAATGTTTACCGGGCAAGGACTTTTGGGTTGGGTCGGGTTATGGCGCACCGTGTATTACTCTGTAAATCACAACTGATGATTAATATTATTATCAATTTTAGGATATTCATTGTAAAAAATACAAATGACATAACAGAAAGATTATTTATTGTCTTGTTATTTCTTCTACGTCGTTTCAAATGCGTGGTTTGTATGTTAAAGTGACATGAAATGTTTGTATATCTATTTCTGTACAATCATGGGGACCTACAGAAATATTTCGTTCTAAAGAATTACAATTTTTCTCTGTTGTACTTGTATTAGATGCGTTTCTGGTAGTATCATCTAATTGTTGATTTATCAATAGACTAGGTGAATTTAATTTTATAGTTTCTAAAGAATGAGATTTGCTCTCTATAGTTCGAATTTTCACACCATTTTCTTTGTTTTTTCGTGATGAACTTCTATGAAGATTACACTTTTCTTTAGATGATGCTTTTCGAATACATGACCTTTTAATGGAATCTGCACTCACACTAAGCCCTGATGCTGAAACAGAAAAGTTTTGACCATGTTACTTCTACCATATAAAAATTTTAGCTGTGCTTTTAGTAACAAGTGTTTTCTTTTATACTCTCTCAATTCGAATCAGTTAAAAGGTACTTTTACACAACAAAATTTACCATAGAAGCAGGCAATAATGTGAATGTATTTAATCCTCCATCAATGGCATAACATTTCTAATACGATTGTTAACAAACTTGTTAAATATAACAAAAATTTTTCAAAATGTTTATAGGAATTTATTAACAGCGCATTAGAATTAAAATTAACTTTTGATTCAATTTCTTACTTAATTCTTTCATAAATATTTTATTGTAAAACAAAAATAATTTTTTCGATTCTTGCAAGACAGTTATGTAAATAAAACATAAATTTGTTTTTTACAACGTTTCTAAATATTTAACTAAATAAAATTAATTTGTCAATAAATCAAAAAAATAAATAAATTGTAAAATTAAAAATCACAGACTTAAACATCGTAAGTGATTAGTCAATGTTAGGAGACAATAACCTTTAATCAAAATATTGTGAATAATAAACATCGCTTCACCTTGCTAAGTAAAGGAAAATAAATATTATTGAGAAATTGAACATCTTCTTTCCCTTTAACCCCTTCGCAGTCAAGACCAAAAACTCATAAGTGGGGTCAAAATGTCGACAACTTTTTAGAAAACTAAAATTTGCGCAAACGAGCATACTATTGTATTTGAAGTCGCTGATTACGCATCCGATATCAGATTTTGAAAATTCAAAATGGCGGATCCAATATGGCGGACATGAAAACTCAAAATCGACTGAATTCACTTGAAACTTGTTACTCAGGGGTTTTCGGGGTGGCTGATTACGAATCCGATATCAGATTTTGAAAATTCAAAATGGTGGTTCCAATATGGCGGACATCATTTCCTAAAATTCATCGGATTCACTTGAAACTTTTTACTCGGAGGTTTTCAGGGTCGCTGATTACGAAACCGATTTTATATTTTAAAAATTCAAAATGGCGGATCCTATATAGCGGACGAAATTTTCTAAAATTCATCGGATTTACTTAAAACTTTTTACTCGGAAGTTTTCGGGGTCGCTGATTACGAACCCGATTTTAGATTTTGAAAATTCAAAATAGCGGATCCAATATGGCGAATGAAATGTTCTAAAATTTATCGGATTCATTTGAAACTCGTTACTAGAGGGTTTTCGCTGATTACAAAAAACTTTTGAAACGATAATAAATACAAAATTTTCCCCCGCAGTCAGCTGTTAAGTATACTACATTACTTACGACCTTAGAGTTTACCATGTGGAGGTATGCGGTCGGATTTTACACTTCTTTATTTATTTTGTTTTTTTATACTTTTTTGTTTGTTCTTATATTGGATCTGCCATTTTTAAAACTGATATTACATTTTAAATCTACGACATAAATAAATCCCAAGTAACAACTTTTAAGTAACTCTGATAATTTTATTAAAATGGCGCCAGCCATATTCGAAACGCCACATTGTATTTTAAAAATCTTATCCTAGATTCGTAATCAGCGACCCCGAAAACCGCCGAGTAACAAGTTTTAAATGAATCGGACGAGTTTGTAAAAATGTCGTCCGCTATTTAATTGGATCCGCCATTTTTAATTTTTAAAATCTGAAATCGGATTCGTAATCAGCGACCCCGAAAATCCCTGAGTAACAAGTTTTAAGTGAATCCGATGAATTTTTTAAATTGTCGTCCGCTATATAGGATCCGCCATTTTGAATTTTTAAAATATAAAATTATTTTCGTAATCAGCGACCCTGAAAACCCCCGAGTAAAAAGCTTCAAGTGAGTGGGATAATTTTTAGAACATTTCTCTCGCCGTATTGGATCCGCCATTTTGAATTTTTAAAATCTGAAAACGGATTCGTAATCAGCGACCCCGAAAATCCCCGAGTATAACCCGAGTATATACCGTAGGTGTACTGACAGAACCCTTACACTGGTTTACAGTGAAATTGTCAATCGAACAAAACAATTTTTTTTCGAATAGTAGGTGTTTTTTGAGTAAGAAAATCATAGTTTTAATTTTTTTCCCTCGTGCAGTTTTTCTGTAGCTTCCAATTTTGCATTTTCGAGGTGCGACGCCACTTAAACTTACCTGTAGGAAAATTAGCTTCTCAAAATATAATAAATGAGGTATTATTGGAAAGGTTATTAAATTACCTTTCGATCCATAGGTCACAGAATAAAATTCAACAAAAATTGAGAGAGTTACAGTTGATTAAAGATGAAATTTCATGACAATTTTGATGATTTTTAGACATTTGAGTAACTTCTACTATTTTTTTCTACACCAAACAGGAAAGAATGTTTAGGTTTTAATATTTTTATTGATAGACTATATCATTACACAAATTTTGAGCCCTTGTGGACCTCGATTGGATTAAAAATGACAATTCTACACTAAATTTAGTGAACGAAAATACATTCTTCATTTTTAGTATCCCTTAAACATTTGCAGCAAAAATTGAAGTAATAAAATTTAATAAAATTGTTTAAGAACCGTTTTATAAGAATATTGATAATAATATTTAGAGGCCTTTTACGGTTTTAAAGATGTTCGTTTATTACAAATAAATTGTTATAAATTGCTACAAGTTTCGACTTAATTAAGTCCTCATCAGGCAAATTTTAAATCTTAAAAAAGAAAAAACTCACCTTGTGTTCAATCACATTAATAATCATATAACAAAAGGTTAAAATTTAAAAATTTCCCAAAAACCATGATGGTAAAAAAGTCCATGGTAAAAACATTCATGGTAAAAGCCATTATATTAAAAATCATGGTGAACGTTACAATGATCACCATGTGAGAAACATTCAAATTTTTAGGTTAATCTAAAAAACCTCCACAGATTAAATTTAAAAATGATAAAGTAGGAATTATATATATCATATATAATATATTACGTTAAGCGGGAATTTAATTTAATTTAAATTTAAAAAATATATTTATTTTAATTTATTTATTTTTAATGTAAAGATTGTATTAATGGAAAATAAATTTTACTTAGTTTATCAATATCTGTATAAAAATTAACATGATTAGATTTGTTATTTTGAATATGTAACATTTCTAGATGTTTTCTTTTAAATTCGTTAGTTTCTGTATCCAAAATTTTTAAATTTTTGAAATCAAAAGAATGTTTAGTATCATAAACATGAGTAGACAAACCAGTATTTTTTAATTTACCAATTATGTCTCTTTCATGCTCTTTGATTCTATTAAATACGTGTCTTTTAGTTTCGCCAATGTAATCCTTCAAACAATTCCCACCTTGAATTTTATAAACACAATTAACGTGATCAAAAACAGAAAGCCTGTCCTTAAAATTATGTTGAAAGATATTATTATATAAAGTATGATCAATAGAAAATATTAAATTATATTTAAAATTCCTTTGAAAAGTTCTCTTTAGTATACAATCAAAACCTTGTACATATGGGAAAACGAAAAAATGCTTTGGTATAGAATCATCATTATTCGAAAAATAATGTTTTGGATTAATAATTTTTTTATAACGTGAATTTATTTTATCATCTAATAATTTTAATGGAAAACCATTTTCTAAAAGCGTATTTTTAATAAATAGTAAATTATCCTTATGAAAAGATGGATGAGATAATTTAATTGCTCTATCAACCAGAGAGTAAATAACACCAATTTTTTGCGATAAAGGATGTTGTGATGCAAAATTAATATAACGTCCAGACCAAGTACTTTTTCGGTACCAGTTAGTCTTTAAGCTATTATTTTCAACTATAAGTGATAAATCCAAAAAATTAATTATATTATTTTTCCAATATTCTAAAGTGAATTTTAAATTTTTATTAACATTATTAAATTTAGTTAAAATTTCCTGAATTTTGCTTGATGGAGCACAAATAAGGATATCATCTATATATCTAAAATAAAAAAATGATTTTAAAATTGAAAAATTCAAGAATTTCGTCCTCTAAATCTTCCATTACCAAATTTACAGCACTAGATGAAATTGGAGATCCCATGGGTAAACCAAAGATTTGTTTATAAAATTCATTATTATAAGTACAATAAGACGATGATAAACAAAAATCTAAAGCCTTCTAAAGCCTTCTAAAGACGAATTTATTAAGGCTTTAGATTTTTGTTTATCATCGTCTTATTGTACTTATAATAATAAATTTTATAAACAAATCTTTGGTTTACCCATGGGATCTCCAATTTCATCTAGTGCTGCAAATTTGGTAATGGAAGATTTAGAGGACGAAATTCTTGAATTTTTCAATTTTAAAATCATTTTTTTATTTTAGATATATAGATGATATCCTTATTTGTGCTCCATCAAGCAAAATTCAGGAAATTTTAACTAAATTTAATAATGTTAATAAAAATTTAAAATTCACTTTAGAATATTGGAAAAATAATATAATTAATTTTTTGGATTTATCACTTATAGTTGAAAATAATAGCTTAAAGACTAACTGGTACCGAAAAAGTACTTGGTCTGGACGTTATATTAATTTTGCATCACAACATCCTTTATCGCAAAAAATTGGTGTTATTTACTCTCTTGTTGATAGAGCAATTAAATTATCTCATCCATCTTTTCATAAGGATAATTTAATATTTATTAAAAATACGCTTTTAGAAAATGGTTTTCCATTAAAATTATTAGATGATAAAATAAATTCACGTTATAAAAAAATTATTAATCCAAAACATTATTTTTCGAATAATGATGATTCTATACCAAAGCATTTTTTCGTTTTCCCATATGTACAAGGTTTTGATTGTATACTAAAGAGAACTTTTCAAAGGAATTTTAAATATAATTTAATATTTTCTATTGATCATACTTTATATAATAATATCTTTCAACATAATTTTAAGGACAGGCTTTCTGTTTTTGATCACGTTAATTGTGTTTATAAAATTCAATGTGGGAATTGTTTGAAGGATTACATTGGCGAAA